TTTTTCGAATCGCTGTATTCATTGCACAACAGCTATCCACGGTGAATTATTTAACTTTAATTAAATAATAATATAATAATTTAATAATAATTTCTAGAAATAAAACTACCGAGCCAATCAAAATGCCTTAAGTTAATATACAATTATTATGAATAATGATAAAAGTACATGACAGTGCCCATACGGCCATACCTATTGTTTTGATTGTAATACTATTGCGACATCAGGGGATTTTTTTAAAGGTTTTTCATGATAAAGATAGGTTTTTTTTAATTTAACATAATATAGATCATTAGATAGTTAAAACTTTTTAAACACTTTATTGACATTATATTTATAATATATTTTTTTATAGTTAGTCAATGAACAAAAATACCTTAAACTTGTCCATAATACTATGAAAGTTAGTTTTTATCATACTTATAAACACTTATTTTTTCTCAAATTACCTATTAGACTTTTCACTTTTCTTTGAATTTATCCAATACCGAACATTTTACAATTATAAATACAATTATACAAATATGAAAATGAAATCTTAACCATTATTCATCTAAATGTATATTGTTGTCGAGTTTCTACATAACCATGTACCCACAGTAAATCTAAAAACAGTATCAACTCCATAGTATGTAAGTAGGTATAGGTACATATTATAATAATATTTGGATATCAACGTTAAAATGTGTTTTGCAGTGTTTGAACTCGGTTCGATGGCCAATTCTGAATGAGCCAAAATTAGAGTAAATTCTATTGCTAGCCCTTTAATGTTATTTATCTTAGCAAACCTCACAGATTTACGATCGTCTGTAATAGTCGTTGGTTTTATGTGGATACCTACTTCCGAAATATTATTCATTACGTTTAATTTTGTTGAAATGTGATTGATTTCAAAAGTAACCGGTATTAGACATTGTCTAAATAAATAATTAATCTGAATGACATTTTAAAAACGTTATTTTCCCCATTAAGACATAATAATATAATTTTGTAATAATAATATTATTAATGTTTCTACTATAAATTATTATACATGATTAAATTCCCATACAAAGAACGACATTCAGACTCCAACATAATATGATATTTCAAAAAATCTAAATAAATTACAATGTAACAAAACCAACATAATATTATTTATTTTAATTCTAACAGAATGTTTTATACTTAAATAATATTGGAAAATATCATAGATCTTAAGGGAATAGTATATTAGTATCAGTTCGAACGATTATAGGATGAGAATGCGGTACACAGTGTGAACATACTTACATACGTAATGAGTATAATGAGTACAATATTTTTAAAACCTTACCAGACTTAAAGTACGATAAAAATATACTACTTATAAGTTCTATGTATAATATTTCTTACGATAAAAATATACTTTGTATTCTATGTATAGTATTTGGTGCGATAAAAACATACTATGTATTCTATGTATAGTATTTGGTGCGATAAAATGTTATAAACAATAATATATTAATTGTACTTTAACTCTATCGTCTAAGCTAAAATTACATAAGTCACAAAATAAGTACCTATACAATATTATTTTTTACAATGCGGATAGTACAGAGTGGTAAACCTGACATCAGATTTGGCCATATCACTGTGTTATGACGTCTCACCGCGTCTCATAGTGCTCATATGGTAAACGGAAGGCTCATCTATAGTATAAGGTCTATGGCAAATAAACATTTTTTTTTTTTTGTACTACATTTCCCAGTCTTTCGGACGGGCGTTTCGTGTGGTTTTCGAGTGAGTGTGTTGAGTTTTCACGGCGATAAATAATTATGTTCGAAGACTTATCGTAATATTTATAACGAACCTGTTCATATGCTTAACAACTTGCATTTTTATTTATTTTCGAGTGGACTTAAGATTTTCCACGGCAACGTGTATCACGCTGTTATAACACGTCTACATAATAAAATGTAATTATTGACTTTCATCATTCGACGAGTACTGTACTTATATTAATTCTGATCGTCCCACATGGATTCGACGAGAATAACCATCACGATCGATGCCGGTACCGATATTTTGGCAACCCTTACAAATGCCATTGTCGGCGGCCGTGGAGCAGGGACGTCCCAGGCGGCGGTGACCGGTGCAGGACCGTCGACTAGAGAGGAAGCAAACAGGAAGGGGAAAGCGGAAACCGGCAGAGCGGTTGCAAAGAAAAACGAGTCGTCCAAGCGTCGCAAGGCCGAGTCAGCAGCAGCGGTCCAGCGCTCCCGGTCTCCGATTGGTCGCAGGCGTATACCACCCTTGCCGTATCCGCCGAAACACAAGATAAACACCGCTTGGAGGAAAGTACCACCGATTCCCAAGCTGACGGTGGCCACCAGCCCGCCGAAGGTAAGGCTGACTTGGGATGACGGCATCAGCTTGGGATCGTATCACCTTTACGCGGTCATAGCCGGCCACGAACTGTACGGGTGCGTGTTCGGAGACGAAGACGACTCCGAAGACGCGCGATGGGAGAAGTTGACCTTCGTCAAGGCCGCTCCACCCAGCCATAACCGGCGGCAGCCCGTCAGCTGCACAATTAGCAACATGGACACAGAAGCCGATTACTACTTCGCGGTCCGCCCGGTGGACGTGCACGACAGACGCGGACCATTTGCCATCGTTTACGTTCGGCTCTGATGTCCGCCCCCTTCGAGACTCCCACGCCAGTTTGGCATAGGACTCGCATAGGAAACGTACTCATGTCTCAATCTGCGATCGCCTGACAATCTCCTCAATATTATTATTATTTAACATTATACGAGTTATGTACTGTATCTGAGTTTGGTCATATTTTTACACCTTATTATACGTCATAATATTTTTATATAATTTATTCATCTTAATAACATATTATAAAACATAGTCCCTTTTTCTCTCTGTATGCTTAGATCTTAAAAACTACGCAACGGATTTCGATGTGGTTTTTTAATCGAGAGAGTGATTCAGTTTATATGACGTATATGACATGCATAATATAATAGAAAAACATTGCCCCTTTTTTTGTACCTACGAGCATATCTCGAAAAGACCTCTACTTATTTTAATACGGCTTTCACTAATAAATCGGTTGAGTTAATGGGAAGGTTTTAAAAAGTCAATAATAGTTATTTGAATAGATTATTACTTGGAAATTGGAGGGGTGTATACAGTTTGATTTTTCAACTCATATAGGCTGTAGATAAGTAAAGGGTAGCTCGCAAGTGATTTTTTTTAGTATACGAAAAAATAATTTTTTTTTTTACAATCTAAATGGTTGCAATTCGTAACATATTATATTAATATTATAATTAGAAGAAATATGGTATATACATTATACATTTTCAATAAATATATTTATTGAAAATACAAACCTTTGGCCTGGATAACGTCGGGCGGGACAGCTAGTATTATTATAATGGTTAAACATTATATTTTATTTATATTTACGAACAGCCCATAGTGTGCTTGTTGTCATACCATTTTATTTTCGCATTTAAGTTTAGTGCTGTAAAAATATAAAACAAAAATTGGGTATCGCTTATCTGCTGTGCTGTAGGTGTAAGTGTGAGTGTTACTGTAGTAGTCTATGTGTTAAATTTTAATCGAATGATATAAAATCAATGTCTACGAAAAACAGTTCTAAGCAACGATGGTATGTCAGTTTATATTATAATAATATTCATTAAATTGAAAAAAATAAATTAAAATAGTTACTTTCCTTAAATATTTAACTTCGTCTGAATTTGAAGTTATGGGTATCTATTAAAAAATAAAGTTTTTATATAATTTATCTAAAACCTTTTTTGAGTTAAAAATCTGTTTTCCTTAACTTTTTTATTTTATTTTCTCGACGTTCTTAAAAATTACTGGGAAGCTTAAATGTTGACCTCACGAATGCACCAATAAAATTCAATTTCCCACCAGAAAAATGAATGAATTGGAAAATTGATGCATTTTATCTACTAAAATATTTGTTTACAGACAGAAAATAAAATACACACATTATTTTTAAATCAATACATTCACCACCCCTCCAGAATCTAAAATACATTTCAATATTAAGCCCATAAGGTTTTGAATTTTATAATTTTTGTATTGTTTCTAAAAATGTTAAATTATTTAAACCTAAAATATAGATGGTATAGCCGTATAGGGTATCATAAGCGATATACAATCGACATTTTACGATGTTGTGTGTTACAGTGTATTATAGTGTGTTGTAAAATATGATTATTTCACTTTTTAATATAATCAAATAAAAAGGTATTTACAATCAATAATATTTTATTGTTGATAGTATAATATCAACTTGATACTAATGAAATTTCCCTTATAGTTTTATTACTATAACAATAATATTCTTTCTTAAATAATTTATATAAATGATACAGTTCAAGAAAACAAAAACGAGTAAGAGTACCTAGTATAATAGGTACATAGTTAATTTAGTTTATAATAATAAAAAGAACGACAGTACTCAAGAAACTTGACTATTCACATAGTAAATAAGAGGTCTTTATTGGCAAACTGCCTCATATTATGTACGATTAGAGAATCTAGGAAATAATTAGTGGGAGTGAAATTTTATTACAAATATAATAAGCAATAAATTTGAATTAGAGTAGGCATACAAAATATACGTGGAAAATGTGTTATCAAATTCAGCATAATAAAAAAATGTAAATGCCTATTAGTTAATAAGTATTATGTACTTTTGTTCAAGGTGATCTGTTGGCTACCTTGTATATTTCTTATATAACTGTACAGTGTACCTACGTTGAGTAAAACTTTCGCAAACTATAATACATACAATTGTGAATATTTCAAAAAGTATAGATAGTAAATATTACTGACTGTGACTTTTGAAGTACAATTTACAATTTAGAAATAACTTTGTAAACTTTATGTAATATATTTGTACATACTTTTAATTATTCACATTTCTAGTATAAATCTATATTAATAAATTATCATATTTTGATATATTTTTTTTTATACTGGCAAATTGAGATTTACTTTGAAATCAACCATTAGAACTATAAGTACTCGTAATTGGTATGTAACACAATTTGGATGTATGGTATTTTCAGATACCTAAAAATATATCTGACTGTTTAGAAATTGTCAATACATTAATTTATTAATTTTTATAGTTTACTAGCTGACCCCGTCATTCCGTTGGCCGTTATAAATGTCAACTAATAAATGATTCAAACTTTGTTCAATTTGTATTTAATATTCGGAGTAATGGTATTCAAAACTAAATCTTGAATCTTAATAAACTTGTGTAAGTACCACTTTAAACATTTTACCAATTGCTTTCTTAATGCAAACATATACACGGCACTACGGCAGTACGAATAGGTACGAAGGAAAACTGCAAGCTTCAAGCTATTATTATTTAGGCCCTATGTTGATTAATGTTATTATGTCATAAAGTTATAAATTACCATTATGTAACTATTATTTAACAAAAATATTACCATTCATGGAATATGCTAATCTAAATATTTGGTGAAAATATCAAGTGTCTGTTGGTTTTTAAATTACAACAAATAAATAAAATCGATTTTTTCAATTAAAAAAGTATATAAATTCAGTTAAGTAATTCCAGAAATTAAATCAAACAAACGAACAAAACTGTATCTAATTTATATATTATTAAAGATAAAAGTACAACGTATTACATACTTTCAGATGAAAACTTTAGAGAGTATTAGTCTATGAAAATCGTATTTTTTATAGGGATTTAAGTGTAAATTTTTTCATTTTAAAGTCGAAAAATCAGTAATTTGTACTACCTTATATTTTGAAATATTCACAAATAACATCTTATTAATTATTATATTTTACTATGTACAGATACATAATAAATACATGCCTAACCATCAGACCACATCAAACCAAAGTACCTAAATAATACTTATAACTAAGGACGGGAAAGTTAACATTTTTTTTTAATTTGTTAAGTTAAGTTAAAATATTAAATTTAAGTTAGGTTAAAAGTAACTTATGTTTTTTTCGTTAACCATATAGTGCGTAAGCTTTACACGAAGTTATGGCCGTGACCGAGTGAGTCGTGTTACAATCGACTGACGAGGAGAGTGGGGTTTTGGTATTTGACCCCTATAAGGACCGTTTTATAACTGCCGTCGATCTGTCGACGTCCCGTGGTGGCAAAAGTTTACCACAGCCTTGTGGGTTTGAATATTCCAACTCTGATTTCAGTGGGAACGCCATGACTAATGGTCGTGCACACCTCTTCGCACTGTGTCTTGAATGTTATTCCGACTATGTCGTTTCGTTGTGATTGTAATTGGCTCTTTGCTTTGATTTCGATCCGAGCCAGTCCACTATGTTGTAAGTTTCAGTGAGAAGTTGACGTATCGTCGGTTAACCTTGTATTCATTTTGCCGTATCGTGAACTAAACGCTCGATCCGTTATAGGCGGTTACAGATTTCCGGACCCTTGGTATCATCCATATCAATCAAATCATCAAGTCACAGAGTGCATCTAAATCCTCTCGTAAACCGTTCCTCATCTCTCCAAACCGTAGTAAGACCCATCAAGGCAATCTTACGCGGTTCGTTGAAAGACCTTACCTTCCATCCTAATTATAACCGCATCAATATCCAACAGGGCAAATTGATTGGATGCCCACAGAGCATTTTAGACTAGGTTTAATAAGTATATAATGAGTTGTAGTGGAAAATCTTAAATCTGCTAAAAAAAAAAAAATAAAAATGTTTCGTATTCGAATATAGTTATAGAGTTTTCAGTTTTCAGTTATACAGTTATACAGAGGTAATATATTTTCTAAGAACCATCGTAATATTTAAAATAACCTGCACTGGCTTAACAACTTGTGTTTATTATAATTTTAAGCGGATTTAAGATTTTCCACGACAACGCGTTTTAAGTTTATTACGCCTAGTTATAATAAATACCTTCATAATAAAATATGTCATTTGACTGCCGTCGTTCGTCGAGTCAGAAACCTGATATGGATGCTTTTAAGATTACCATAGTGGATGAAGAATTTAATAGGAGGATGGAAGCCGTCATCGACAGTGTGGCGGCTTTACACGATGAGGAGCCCCAGCGTCGGAAGTCTGTGACAGTGGTGAAGCGGTGTAGCCAGTCGCAGATCCGTAGCCCCATGCCCCCCTTACCGTATCCACCAAGACATAGGATCAATAACGCTTGGAGGAAGACGCCACCAATACCCAAGCTAAAAGTATGCACCAAGCCGGGAATCGTTCAGCTGACATGGGATGACGGGATGGGAGTCGCGTCATATCAACTGTACGCGCCCTTAGACGGATATGAACTGTTTGAGTGCATATTGAATGGTAGCGTCGACAACGCTAAATGGGAAAAGCTGACCTACATCTTGGCCTCAGCGCCAAACCAAAATCAGCGGGTACCCATCACATGCAAGTTGACCAAAAAGGCCAGAGGGATAGAATATTACTTCGCGGTGCGAGGGGTTGACGTCCACGAAAGACGTGGGCCATGTGCCGTAGTGTACGTGAGGTTCTGAAAACTGCATCAACGAGGGGACAGGTGTTACGTACGTCAGTTTGTCGAATTGCCAGTAGATGGGTTTCCTCAGACGTCTAGAATCAAACGAAATGTACTTATTTCAGTTTCCTCG